ATTTTTTCTATCTGTTGTTGGTTCAAGTGTCATATGAAGACAGAACAGCATTAGAAATCTATTCAGACTCCCTTCAGCACTCTATGTGCAGGAAATGCTTGGGGGGAGAAAAAGTAAGAACTCTGACTAGTGAGAGACAATGAAAAAATTAGGGGGAGAAGGACTGAAGGTGGCTTCAGTCCACTATGTATTACATTAAAAAAAAAACTGTAAGAGCCCATTCAGTTTCTATATTTGCAGTTTGGTCTTGCAGACTGATGTCTAAATGCTTCTACAAATAAATGCCATTGGGAAGGACCATATTTCAAATAGAACCAGTTTATAATGAATGCTGAAGCTTACAGCAGTATTCAATGCCCTTTTACTTCCAGTTGTTCAGAAAAGAGATTAAGGGATCTGAAAAATGTATTAAGAAGCCACACCATCTGCCAAGGCAGGTACGCCACTGGGAAATTGAAAAAATATGAAAAATTACTTGAGCAAAAGAGTCCCTTTCCATTAAAAAAGAGTTGGGGAATGAAGTCATGCCAGGACATCATGATGTAAAAAGACGTTAAAAAATTACCCAGGATGGAAAACCTTGTTTGCTATGTGAATGATATTTAATGACACAAGAAATATTTGGAAATGGAAGATTTTGTTGTCACATGTCCCTATTCTACCAGGAAATCAGGAATTACAACAAAAGAAAAAGTCCTTCCTCCCTTATTCAGAACTTCTGCAGAGTTTCTTTTTAGTAAGGACCAGAGGGCTCTATTCAGTGAATTACCATTTGCTTCAATCATAGGCAATTTACCAGAGATTACTTTGCAATATCTCTGAATAGCAGTAACATTCCAAAGAATGGAAATCAAATCATCTTTTCAGGCCTCTATTTATAAGCTCATATGTGTGCCTCTCAATCATGCTGTCAACTCCTCCTGGTTTCAGTTGAATCTTGAAATAAAAAAAGATTCACAAGAGATCTTGCTTTTGTAAATGCACCCTAAGTTTTTTCCTGAGGGGCATATTAGGAAATTAAGATTGTGTGGTTACTCCTTGAGAATTGTCCATTATGAAGAAAGGTCCATGGGATATAAGTTTGGAAACTTCAAACAAGCAGTGTCCAGGAATCAGGATTGGTACTACCTTGATCTGGAACAGAGGACATGATACAATCACTCCACATTGCAAGCATTTTGCTATGTTATTATAGAAGGCTCATTATTTGAAGACTACCACTGTCATTTAAAAATGGATAATAGTTATGATTTCAAATTAAACACTTAATGTCCAGTGCCATTATCAGCACACCTATCTGAAGATTGTTTTCCACACTCGATAACATCAGTGCAACTTGAAGAGGGATCAGAGAGTAGGTTTCTTAGATAACATTAAAAGGGAGTGGTAAAACTTCCCTCCTAATATTTCAAAATTATCTTGCCATCACATCTGGCCATTAGTTTCCATAATATTTTTCCTGTTGAGCTAAGGTCACAGTAGATAGTTTTTCTAATAATAATAATTGTGTGAAACTCATAAGCTGATGATATTGCAGCCAGGCATCTGCAGGGTCTGTTTTTCACTATCATTCAGGCTGTAAATTACTTCCATCTTGGACAAAAGTGGCAAATCATCTCACTTTGGTGCTTATAATCATTAATCATATGAAAGTAGCACTGCCAGCCTGTTACTATGCTGGGTGATGTATAGCTTTGTAGTAAAAACCAGACTCTGTCCTAAAATGCTCACAATAAAAATAGGCATTTATGAACACGTGTGTAGATAAGCTTCAGCACCATACAAATGCATAATGGCTTGATTAGGATCACATGGCAAGTCCATCAAAAACATTATTGGTTCATAAATCTCTCTAGTCCTCACACACAATCTTAGGTTTCCAAGTGTGGTTTTTTGTTACTGGTCCAAGAACAAGCTCATAAAGTACACCACCATGTCATCATTGTAGTTTCACTTAAAAGTGTCTTTGAGAATTCACCATACATTATTTCCAAATGTGTGTTATCTGGAACAAACAGTTGCTCAGGCTGCCTTGAATTTTTCATGGGCTTATGCAATTCACACAAACTTTAAAACTGAAGCTATATTCAGTTTTCTTGTGTATTTACAGTCCAAGAGTCCAGCAATGCGTGGATACTTCTTTCAATGCATGGGGATAATACCCTTGGCACGAAAGCTGATTCACCCATGAAACAATGACTTGCTTTTCCAGTGCATAGCTGACTTCCTAGAAACATCAGTTCCTTAAGCTACTCCCCTCTGTGTGGCAGCCTAGAAGGTTTAACATTCCTTCAAGGACCACTCATCCTATGCAGAGGAATGTGCTGTTTTAGTCAGTGGAATTGCCATTTACAGGATAAGCAGACCCTGTTCTCCTATTTATTTTGCAGTCCCAGTTCCCTTACAATGTGCTCCTACTCTGTGCCCACACTTAGAAAAGGCTTCAGGCAACAGCTCCTCTCTCAAGTTAAGGTCAATCAATACGGCTGATGTTTAATTATAGGTAGCTGACAGTGTCCTCTGGCATAGGCTAACCTTGTTAAATATAAGGTTTAAAAATATCCCTTCAAAATTAATTTTCTGCTTGTTTTTAGATGCCCTGTGTGTGCTGGTTCTTCTGTGACCTTGACAGGTCTGGCGGTGACAGCTAAAACCCTGCTTTACTTTGTCAACACTGAGATTCACTCCTACATTATAAAACAAGTCTGGGAGTTGTCACTATCTTCCACGCCACTGCATCTGATCTCGTCTGACAAAGGGGCATGAGATGGTTGTATTCATCTCATGAATACCCTGTTAGAGGTTTTTCAGCAGACACAGTCTGGGCTGTTTGCTTCTATTCACCACACGGTAAGAAAAGGACCATTTGCTTCTGTTCATCTAGTGTACTGCCAGAGAATAAGCTGTGTTAAATGCACAGAGTCTAAAAGGATTTTAGTGATGTCTTGATTGTAACACTCTAACTTGAAAATTTCCGGCTTTAAAGAAAATATATTTTACATTATACAATAGTTGCAGATCTTTCTTAAGATTTCTTCCTATGCTTTGTCAACAGTTTGGCTCCTAAGGGAGGACAGCACTACTTAGAAGAGCTTTTAAGAAACCAAATTCACTAGGACACTGATTCCTATTGTAGTAGGTCAGCACGTCTCCAGCTGTACTCTGATTTCCAGTAATAGACCTAATCTTCTAAATCAATAAGTGATTGCAGCCAGGACACCTGCACCATTACACCAGGTAAGTCCAACCTCACCTCCTTCTATGCTTACTTTTGGGCCGGTCAAATTGTTGCTGAAAGGGCCCCCAGGAAAGGGTTAAGCATATTAATGAACTTGTGTGTTTAATGAAACGGAGATAGTGTACTTAAAATACTGAAAGAAAATTTAAAACAGTCCAGCACTGCAAAACAACTTTATGATGTTTTAGCTTAGGGTTTTGTAAATTCCTTCCCTACAATCATGATATCCGTGGTGTAAGTTCTAAATATATAAAACCTGTTTAATAGAATCAGTAACACTTGTAACAAAGAAGTACCTTCTATTCTAAAATGTCAAAGTATTTTAAACACTAAACAAAACCAGGGAGAATAGAATCTCTGCAGTCAGTGTTTTGAAATATAAAACTCCATGTATTTTAACAGAAACAAAAGGCAAATTTCTAACTATCTTCCCTGAAGATTCATAAGTAGGAGCTCTAATTAGATCTCATCCAGTTAAAACTTAACAATTAATCCAAACTGTCTTCAAAAGGATCAGTGCATTGTGACGTGCATTATAAAGAGAAAGAAATTATAGCTGTCAAGTGTCAGATTTTACTTCTCTTACTCACCCATCACTGAACTTTGAGACTAAGCATCTTATTTTAATATTTCTGAGCAATGTGATTTTAATTGTTGTGATTAAGGGATTGCAGAAACGTGTCCCACGTGAAGACGACACTCAATGAAGTATTACCTCTGCTTTTAGAATTACCTTTGATCGCACTTGTAAATTCGCAGTGGATTTCCCATTAATTAGTGTGAATTAGATAGTTGTGGCTGTTCAGTTTAGGTTAATTCTAAATGTTTTACAGTGCATCACTAATTATTGGGGGAGACAAAAACCCTTATTAAACAGCCCGCAGGTGCAAGGGATGCGTTCACCCTGCTCCATGTGTGTTTCAGGGGCTGGCAGCTTCTCCGCGGCGTTGGCCTTGGATACTCGCATAGCTCCTGGCACCACCACGGGACCTCCTCGTCCCGCAGACAGCGGCTTCTCCAAGGCCAAACACAGCGCAGGGAACTCAGCTCAACCCTTCTTCCCTCCCCGAGGATCCTATCCCATTTTCCCGTCCGATTCACCCTCGGGAGCTCTGTTTCCCAGACATCGCGCCGCTCTTTTGTCCTCGGTGCGAGGCCTCGGCTGAGCTCCTTTTCACATGTGTCAACACTGGCCCGTAATTAGCGCTCGCCGCACAATGAGCCATTGGCGCTCTGCAAAGGGCTCGGCGTGCGGCTGCTCCCGCCGGGGCCGCGGGGCCGGCCAGGTGCCCAAACACAGGCACCATTCCCCACTCTTGTAGATGCCGCGGCTTGACAGACGGACACGCAGACCGCGTCCTTTGTTCCGCAATCGGGACAGAGCTGCCTTCACAGTCTCAGGCTGGGCAGAGATATTTATCTCGGCTGTGCTGTGCTAGGTCCTGCCGGGGCAGCGGCGCGGGGGTTCCGGCTCGTAAAGGTGGGCCGCAAACACGCCAGCCCTCACCTCTCCCCGGAGAACAGGGCAGGACAGTTCAGGGCAATCCCCGGGGAAGCCGCGTTTCCCCCGGCACGGCGGGTGCGGATCCTTACGGACACCCCTTCGCTCCCCCCGCGGTACCAGGGCGGAGCTCTGCCCGCCCCGCCCGGCGCCGCCGCGCCTGCGCCGCTCAAGGCGGGACACCGAGGAGTTCCGCGGCGGGCGGTCGGTCCCGGGCTGGGCGCTGCGGGACGGGCGGGTGAGTTCTCTGCGGGGACAGGCTGGGCAGGGGCAGCGCGTTCCGCAGAGCCGGCGCTCCCTCGGCTCTTGCCGGCGCTCGGACTTTGCCCGCGACCGTCCCTGGGCGGGCGGGCTGAGCTTCCCCGCTGCCTCCGCCCTGCGGCTTCGCCCTGCTCCGAACCGGCCGCGTCCCGCAGCAGGAGCGATCCTCGGGGGGCCCGGCCTGGCCGCTCCCGGGGCGTTCCGCGTCCGCACCGTGCTATTGCTTCATCGCCTAAAAATACCTTCCGGCTGGTTTGGCAGCGGCGGGAGGCGCGGAGCGTGTGCCCGGCCTGGCTCTCGGGGTGCGGGTGAGTTCAGGTGTCGCAGCCGCGGGGTTGTCCCAAAATAGGTTCTTTGACCTGCTGTGCATGGGGCTAATCCGCACACAGAGCCGAGGTACTTGATTTATTTGTGGTTCTGAGCATAAAGAAGGGCTGGGTGGTAAATCCACAAAGCCAGCGCGACTATCAAAACTTCTCACGCTTTATACGTGTTAGCAAACATAGACTTTAATGTTCACTGGCTACAAGTTTGCATAGTTCTCTTATTAGTGAGTATTCTGTCTTTATTGGTTAAATTATTCTCTTCCTTCTTGTGCTAAGTAGCCTGCGTGCTGTCTTTCTCTTCTTTTAGGTAGGTGATTTTCTTGAGTTGGTGATAAGTTGCTTATCATGATTTTGCGCTGCCAGAATTACCTTTAACCCACTTGGAAGTGATTTCAGCACAGTTACTGAGCTGGCTTTATTAGTTTCTTATCGTGGAAGTTCTGCCCAATGTCCTTGTGGCCTGTAAGTTGTGCATTCTTTGTGTCCACCGTCAGTGGTATACCCTTCTTCCCAAGCTTTGTTTAGCCTCTTCCCCTTTAGATCTGAGACAGTTGAAGCATGTCAAGTCCTAAACCTTAACAAGGCAATTCTACAGACAAGTAATTTATCTTTCTAACACCTGGACATCATGGTTGGGGACAGGTTTCTTTCTGAGTGCACAGCTCCTTCCTCCATTCCAGCTGGAGAGGAAGCATGAATGCTGTGGTTTGTATCCGAGCACATCAGTCACGTTCAGGCCATTAGCTTTGATGCTCAACTCACTATTAATTTGTACTTGCTATTTCTCTGCAAGTACAAGCTATTTCCCAGCTCTCTATGGCATGATAAAGTGCAATTTTCAGCTGTAATTTCTGTGCTGTGCAGGGACAGACTGTGCTGTGCTGTGGGCAGCTCTCAACTGGAGAGTTTGTTCTGCCAAAGTTAGTAAGGGGTTAGCAGGCTTTCAGGGGAGGGGGTTGCTTGTGCTTCTGTGGGTATTTCTGCCCTTCACAGCAAGGACATTCTCACAGACAGTTAGTTTCTGTTTTGTTTCTCTTGTGTTAAAATAACTGGAAGTGTGAGCTCAAAAGTGTTGACCATAAAATTATTTGCCCGAAAAAATATGCCCATTGAGGGCTGTCTGTTTGGAAATCCTGGCTGTGAAAGGCCATTGCTGGGTCAGTGGCCCATCTTGGTGGGGCTGGAAATCCCTGGGGCTGTGTGGGAACGACCAGGAGTATCCTAACCCCAATTAATAGATGTAGCTGTGGTGGGCTGCTGGCATTTGCAGCTTCTTCCTATGTTTTAAATTTAGTTTCTGGAGGTGGTAGTTCAGTTCTGAGGTACTTTTTGCCACTGACGCAAAAATTACGTACCAAAATTCTTACCATTTCCAGCAGCAGCTAGGGATGTCTGTCAGAAGTTCGTGGGAGGAGGTGGTTTGTGCTGCCTGGGTTGACATGCTGAGCTAAAGTGCTTGCAGTGTGTTCTCATGGCTGTGTTCTAACAGCTTTTGGCCATAATAAACATCAATATGCTGTATAAGATGATTCTTCACCTAGAGAGATTAGCACAAACATTTCTTCTCAGTGTAATTGCTGTTGTACTTTCGAAGGAACAGCAGCTTTTACAGCTGACCAGTTTTGAATACTATTCATGCACATTTGAGGCCAGCCTAATGTAGCCAAAGAGCTAATTTGAAGAGCTGCTTCATTGTGTCTGTTTCTTTTTAACAGCTCTGATGACAAGTCACAGAGGATCAACAAAAGCAGATGGCAGGAGGTGGCTCTTGTTGCTTTGGGGAGTAGCCTACTGGAGTGAAAGATTAGAAGATAAGCACATTAACATAAACCACAAAGAATTACTTTTGGCTAAACACTAAAAACCCCTACATGCCAGAGTGTTAAAACTGAATTTGAGAGAAGTTTGAAAAAATTATACTTTTTAAGCATTCTGGTTTCACTCTGCTCACTTGATACTGAGAGTTCTTTTTTTTTTTTCCCAAGTGCACTAGGGAGTTCCAAGAGCAATAAATAGATATGCATATAACATCATCATGTACCAGCACAGGCTTGCCTGATAGATGTAGGGCTCTGGCAGAACATTTGTGGGGGGGGAAAAAAGGCTATACCTCATCTTGTGTGACATGTCAGAGGTGTGCAAAATACATTTTGACTTCATGTGTAACTGCACCAGTTAAATTTAATGTTGACTGTTGTAGGTCTTTTTTGGAGGCTTACATATTTTTCTACAGAATGTGTCTTACATGGTTTTTAACTTTCAAGTTGAGAGAATACCAGTATTCAAGTACCAAGGAGAATTAGTACTGCATGTGGTGGGTTTTTTTGTGGTTTTTGTTTTGTTTTGTTTTTATTTGTGCTGCAGTGGATGTTGTTTTCCCCTAAACTCCACATCTTGTTAAAATAAATCTCAAAATCACATGAAATTCATATTAGTGGTGTTGTGCATACTGCTTTGTTCAGGAGTGTGATGGTTATCACTGCTTAGTTTGATGCCACACGCAATGTCATAACTTAATCCTCAACCTGCCAGGAGCACACCATCATCTTTGTAAGCAGTGGTTGTCAGGGTTAACTCTCTGAGCACAGTTGCAACTGAAAATTTCTGGTTTCCTGTGGGTTTTTCCAATTTTAGAATGATTTTATTTTTTAAGGGTGTTTTTGGGAGTTTCTGGCTTTTAGTGACTTACTGTGACTTTCTTCAGAGCATTCAAAAGTGACTGTAATGAGATCAGTGTGGGATTCTTCATTTCTTTTGACTCAGCAGACTAATCCTGTATCATATTTAGTACTTACAAATCCAAGATTTTCATGCCAGCTGACAGTAGGCCAGAAATGATAATTCACAGTTTCTGAATTGCTGCAACAATGTCTTGAGGTAAGGTAGGAAGGGTAACCTGACAAATCTTGCCCCTTTAAGTAATGCACAGTTAAGGTGAAGGTCACTCAAATGCCTGCAGTGGCAGTGCAGTTTTTCTGCAACCATCTCATAATGCTGTGTAAAATCAGGGAAGTTTTAAACCATGCCACTCAGAAAGGATTGTGATTTTTTTCCCCTCCCTTTACAGAAGTATGGACATGTATTTTCACATCATACTGGTATTATTGTGAAATGTATTTTGTACATTTATGAAAAAGTAACCTTGCTCCTGAACGTCTGGAACAGATGTGTGGTTCATGTGTCATTAAATTAGAAACTGCAGGAAAACAAAGAACCATCTGGAGACTTGGTGGGGGGCATGGTTGAGGTTTCTGGTTAAATGTATTACCAACACAGGAAAAAATATAGAGTGCTTCAGCTACAAAAGGAGACAAAGTGTGATAGGCATTTTGTTTTGTTTTGGTTTTAAACAATTTTCTTTTTGTAATTAGGGGAAGCACCAGAATGAAAGACATGGACAATATCAAAACTGTAAAGAAAGAATGGTAGGTGCCAGTTCTCCCTATTTTTTGTCTTCCTTTCCCATTTCTGTTTGTGTGTCCTGTCATTGCTTTTCAAACTTTATGTTAAATTCTAAAATACAGTATTTTTACTGTATTCATCTGTTCCACATACATTTCTGAAAGTTTCAGAAAAATCCTGTTGTTTTGCTGAAAGATTTTTCATATACCTGAAATGTTTCCTAGATGCAAGAAGCTGTGTAAATATTTTAATTTAAAATATTTAAAGGCAAGGCAGTCTTTCAAATTGCTAACTCACTGTGCAGCTCTGCATCTGATGTGGAGGTGTTTGCTCTTCCAGTTTTGTTTCTGAGGTAAAGCATAGTGAATACCTACATTAATGCTTCAAGTTTCTTTTGTTCTATTAGAAAACTAAAATGTGGACAGCATACTTTTGAAATTTCTTCTTTAAAGTTATTGTGGTTTTCTTTTGTGTAAGATGTTAATCTCCAGGGATTCTTAGTGGTGCATAGGTGCATTGCAAACAATTCAATTTTATGCAAATGTATCTAATTAGCATTCCAGTAAGTATTGCTGCCCTTGAATTCAATGCAGAGTTTTATGTAAAATTGGATAATTTTTCAAGAGCTGGGATTTTTATTTTCTGAATTGCTGAAAATAGACTTTTCTGAATCTCCCTTAGGGGTAACTCCTGCAATGTTTATGAAAAGCTGCATTATCTTCTTACTATGCAAAGAACCTATACTGAGATAATCATTCAGTTGCATATTTCTGCATTTTGATTGGTGAAAATCTTACAAACAGCTGTCACATATACAGTGTTCTATAAAAAGATGTGGTTGATGCATCTTTTTTAATATCCTGGCAGTCTCCAGAGTATTGAAGGCTTCCATTCTATTTCTTCAGCGTGCTCCAGTGGTGTTGAGTTACTTGAGTTTCCCTAATGCACATTCCAAAACAGTAATGGTGGTTCTGGGATGGTGCTAGGAATGGGGAAGTTTAAGTTGGGGTTGATGAGTAAATCCTAGGGCAATTTTCTTGTTTTTTTTTTTAAACTTATGGCAAAGGAGCCATATCACAGAATTGCTTTAAGGAAGGCATTTCATTGGTGAGCAGCTAGGTGTATGATGGTTAGAAGTCTGAATATTTTAACTTGCAGTCCTGGCTCTGATACCAAGTTTAGAAGCTTTGCATAGATTAGTTCATCTTTTTTGATGATGCTCTTTAGCTTGTGCTTTTGAAGTGCAAATTGTAGCAGTTAGAGATTGGTAAGAAGTTTATAGAGAAGCCACAATGCAAAGTTGACCTGTTGTTTTATACTCAGTAAACTGAGTAAGGTGGGTGCAGCAGTGTGTGCCTTCTATACTTCTTGGTACTGAGATTCTGAGGTACCTACTTGTCTTCTAATGTGTCCTCTGAGGAGTCATTTATGCTTCTGTCTTTGTTCTGCAGGGTGTGTAAATCAGGAACTGATGATCAGATTTTGAACGGTACAGAACAAAACTGTGACTACTTTGTAGATAACCTTTTTGAAGAAGCTCAGAAGGTTGGTGCCATGTGTGTGCCCCCAACTACAGTCAAGAACCAGGTAGGCAGTGAAGAAAAAATAGTCATGTTTGTTATAACAGCACTCCAGCACTATTCTGGACAACAGATACTGGAAGTCCAGCAGTCTTTTCCAGTCCATCAGTAAAACAATACACACAGAATTCAGAAAGCTGTAGGAGCAACCTCCCATCTCCCAGTCAGCCAGGCCTTTGCTGCTGGGCTTTTGGCTCTCACTGCTTTATAGTTGGTTTAGAGTCATTCTAGAACTGATGCTGGCATTGGCTAATGCACTTATGCTTTATTAGGAAGGAGTGAGGTGAGCAGGAGTTCAAGGAATGACAAGTACTGTTACATAAGAAGTTATTTAAGGAGCTGCAGCTTTTTTATGCAGAGGCATAGCCCAAATATTTTTCATTTGGTCTTATTCATATAATTATGGTTGTAGTGGGATGTTCAGTGTGGGTTTGTATCTCAGTGATTCTGTCCTTTTCGTGTTTTTCTGTTACTCATCAGTGACTGGTAAGGGGAGGGAGAAAAGGCCATGTAGGACAAAGATGACAAGAAGAAATTTGGAGTGGGCATTGCTAGAAATTATGTTCATAGATCCTTAATTGACCCTGGAAGAAATGAAATGTCAAGAGCAATATCTTAAATTGCAGTCCTGAAATAGTGTTCCATGGCATTAGTTGTGTCAATGCTTAAATGGGAAGTTGGTGTGGAATAATTAGTCCATGTTAAATTTGCATTCTGGCTCACTGTAGAAGAACCTTCCCAAAATTAGAACTCTTTCCATATGCATTGGTGCCATGAGACACAAGAGTTTTTGATGGAATCTAGCCTTGCTGAGTGCTGTCTGCTTCTTTTGACAGATCACCCAGTGGAAAGACAAGGAATTCTATTCAGCAGTTTGCACATGCTGTTTATTTATGTAGCAATCACCTAACAAGTCAAACTGGGAAAAAACAAAACCAACAAACTTGTCAGGTGCTATCAAGCCTCATTCAAACTCATTTTCAGCTGAGGTCAATTCTCCATTTGTGCCCTTTTCTGTGGCCAAGTATCTGCCAAGGTAGTGTTATTGCAGGGATCAAACCTCGATAACCAAATACTTCCTTAAATGGCATGGTGAATTAATATGAAAATACAATCTCAAATATCCATCTTATAGTTGGAGAGATTTCAATAAACACTGCAATGGCTGCAGGTTGGAGTAGTGGATGATTTCTGGCAAAGTTAAGGAATTACTGAGAATTTATTTTTTCATTCCCCTAACCACCGAGGTTTTGAATATGCCCAGGAATTCTAGGGTAATATAAGTATATGACTGTCTGAAAGTAAAGTTTCTGACACTTCCTTCATTTCCTGAGTGAAAGGCTTCTGCATGCATAATCTCAATGCCTTTACTTTGAGAAAATCCTCCTGAATGATTGGAACAAGGCTTTACCCTAATAAGTCCCCAGCTGGACTATTCTGGCACTTGGTGTTCCAACACCAGGCTTGTATGCTCTCAAATTAGCTCTTGAAGAGTTGCAGCTGGCTGGGATAGTCCAGCTATTTTATTTTTTTTTCCTCTGCTGAATTGAAGGAGTGTTTTTGGTCTAGGAAGCCAAAATGATTGGGGGAAGGTTTGTTTATAACCCTGATTGACACAAGATACTTAGAAATGTCACTTAGCCCTTGCAGTTGCTGTGCCTGTTGGCATGGGGCCAAGGCAGATTACAGTGAGCCTGCTCTCAGTATTTTTAGTCCATGAAGTGGATGATTTATAATCACAGGGTATGTGTGTATACCAAGCTTCTTTTTCATCAGTGTTATAATGAGAATTGTTCTTACTCTGTAGGTTGATGTAATCATTAAACTTTGGAAAAACGGGTTTACGGTAAATAACGGCGAACTTCGGAGCTACGCTGATGTTGCAAACCAGCAGTTCTTGGAGTCCATTAAAAAGGGGTAAGTGAGTTTTGTGTTCTTAACCAGCCTGAGTTAATGTGCTTTGGGCAGCACTTAGCTTATGCTCTAAATTTTTTACGTGGCTTTGCTGCACTGCAGTGTCCCTGTAGGAGCACAGGCCCTGCCAGTCCTGTTCCTGCAGTGCTAATGGCTGTTGGAACATCAACAGGTTTAACACAGCTCTCAGTGGCAGTAGTTGTACAGTTGCTGATGAATAGATAAAAGCCAGTGTTGGCAGGGGGCACAGCAGGTGCACAATGAAATAAAGAATAAATCAGTGCCCAATAAGAGCTACAGATCAAATGGTATTTTGACTAATGAACTCAGTGCAAAAGGGGTTGAGTATTTCTGGTTTTATGGTCTTTTTGTTGATGAAAAGCCTTAAATGGACACAGATGTTCTATGTATCATCAAGCAACTCTGATCAGTCTTAAATTTCTGACATTTTTCCAAGTACAAACTTGCTGTTGTGTATATATAACAATCTTACATAAATTCCTGTGTTAATAGCCATCTTACATTTTTCCTTATTAAAAGTTTACGTGCTGTCCTGATTTCTGCTACTGTTTGCAGTTGTTGCTTTAAAAAAGGAGTTTGACCATACTGACCAGTGTTATTTTGAGCCTTTAATTTGTAGTCTGTTTCCTCATCCTGTACAAATGGAGAGAAGAACACAATTTTATGGATAATGTAATTTAATACCTCCTTATCAAGCATGTGAAATTACTAAGTCCTTATATTTTTCTTTTCCATATTTTGCTAGGCCACCAAAAATACGAATTTTACACTATTTCTCCTGTATGTCTGTCACCTGTGTTGTAATAGCAATTAACTGCACTGTTTAAAGCCCTTTGTGTGCATTCATCAAAAGTTTGCCACTTTTATTCCACTGTTTGCCTGTGAAGATGCTAATTATGAGATGGTTTCTGCATAATCATTGATGGTGGAGAAGCATTCAGTACAGCCTCTGTGCCAGCTGAGCCCCACCACCCAAAATTGTACTGTCTGCCTCAGAGCTCAGAGACAAAGGCATTGTTGTATGCTGCTTCATGCAATTAAAGCATTACCAAGGTGATGTTACTGCACTAAACAGTGGAGCTGTTAGTGATGATATCATTTTTAGAAGCTGAGATCTGTGTTTGTCATTAAATACATTGTGTGTAAACTCAGTTCTTCCTCTTTAAAAGCCTTTTTCCTTTTTTGTCCTATGGAGATAAAATAATTGAACCCTTTGCAGCAGTGTATGGTAACACTGAACTTCCTACACATTATTTGTTTAGAGTGGTAACTGCTGAGTAAATTTGAACATCATTCAACAACTTGCATCATAGGGGTTTTTATAATTATATACTTTCTAGTTAATTTGCTATTCAGGAACTTGAAGTTATTTGTATGCTATGCATTTAACCTAACTCTTAGTAAATACTTTTGAAGATGTTTTTTAAAAGCATCATCCTTGAAGGGCCAAATGCTTAACAGGTATTAATCATTGGTCTATTTTGTGTACTGACAACAGCGTGGTACTTTTTTTTTTGACCTTTTGTTTTTTTTTTTAAGGGAACTGCCTTTTGAGCTGCAAAAAGTGTTTGATAAGGAGGAGGTAGAAGTGAAAGTGGAGGATAAAAAGGATAAGGTGTATTTGTCATCGAAAAAGCCAATGTTTCATCCCTTTTCTGGACATGGTTACAGATTAGGAAGGTGAGTAGGCTGGTGTGATCTATGACTGAGTAGCTGAAGGGAACTATACCTGTGGTGAAGGATCAAAATTCAGGTGGCAAGCAATCTCTGGAGTCTTCTAGTCTCAACTCCTGCTCAAAGCAGGGTCATCTGTGGAGACAGATGAGGTTACTTAGGCTTTTATTCAATTGGGTCTTGAAATCCCATAAGAGCAGAGGCTGTGCAGTGGCTGTGCAGCCTTGAGTGCTGTACTGTCCTTATGGGAAAGAATGTTTTCCTTATATCCTGTTTGAATGCCTCTCATTAAAATTTCTGTGCGCCATAATGAGCATCACCTCCTCCTGCAAACCCTGGCAGGCTGCTTTTATGTGCCCCACAGCAACCACCATCTCTTCCACAGGCTGAGCAAGCTGCTCTCCTCCAGCATCTGCTGACAGTGTGAGTGCTCCATCCTGCAGGCATCTTGGTGTCTCTTCATGAAGCTTGGGGGATAATTGGCTCCCACAATCCACTGGATGTGTTGCTGTTGATACAGCCAGGAAGCTCTTGGCTTTCTTTGTTCAAGGTCTCAGTATTAGCAGAATTGTTTCCAGCTGAAATGCTGTCACTCTTCTATTCCATGATTTTAGAGAAAATAATCTCTTTTTAAGCTGTATTAGCAATAATTTGAGAAGAGGGCGGAGTATGACAATCCCATAAAGAGAACCAAAGAAGTAAGAGGTTATTTTGCATTCTCTTAAAATTGTTCAGTAATTAATCATGCATGTATTGCAGTAAGGCATTTTAGCATTCTACAGTGATCCATGTCTTTTTTGTAGTTGGAGTGTGTCAGCCGCTCATGCCAATGCTGAAACTGGACTTGATTTACAACCAAACAACTATTGTCTTTTGGAAGCCTGTTGTAGGGCAACGCGCCAGGAGTTCATTTATTTGATCCCTGTGACTTTTGCTTACTCCAGCCACATTATCTGTTTGACATATCCCTGTCATGCAAGACTTGTGTGCCTGTAGAAGCAGGCTTTGGCCTAGGGACCAGGACATGTTCAGTGACCAGGTGGCACTGCTGAGTGACCTGCAGGCTGGAGTTCCTACGCTGTGGTGCAGCCTTAGGTGAACAGCTTCTTTCAATTAAGTGGGAAGAGTTTGGCTGCTAAGGCCCAGAGCTTGTGATGAGGGAAAGCCTGACCTGGGCAGGAACAGCTGAGGCCGAGGAAGATGATAATGTGCAGAGCAAAAGACTGATAAAGGTAAAGGGTGAGTGGTTCCAGGCTGACTCAGAGAAGCAAGTATCTGTTTTATCAGTTTCGCCGGTTTCTGTAGTACAGACCATTGAGTAGATACAATGGGAAAACCTTCCCTTGAGAGATAGGTGAGATGCTGGAAGATTTGCTTTTGGTGGCATCGAAATCCTGAGCAAACGGGGGTCAGAACTTAACCTTGTTATATCTACAAGTAGAGCTGTTCATAACAAAACCAAAAAGATCTTCAGTGTGCTGGGTTTCTGCTGCTAAGCAGTGCTAAATGCTAGGTTGTCCAGTCACTTCTTGTGCTCTGCCATGCCTACAGCAAGTAGTGATCTTGCTTCCCAGTAGGCAAGTTAGGTTTCAGAAACATGCTAATCCGTGAATTTCGGTTCACTGGTCTTGTACACTGAGACATTCTGCAACTTGCTCAGCATTTTTTATTTTTTTCCTACTCTTCTTTGTCTATTCTGTGCTGTGCTATCAAAGCCTTTTCCTTAAAAACAAATAGATATTAGTGCTGATGTTAGAACCATGAGCCATAAGTATTCCTACTCCATAAAGTAGTGCTCGCTTTCTGCTGTTGATAAATGTCCATTGCATGAATACACCACACTTGCAGCAGAAAAGCTTTGTGGGGCAGCAACAGAGCTGACTGAGACCTGGAACAAGTTTTGAGCTAAAGAACTCCTTTTCTACAGTTGCATTCATGTGATTAATCAGAAATGAGAGAGACAAATGACTGAAGAGTTTACTTTAGCTTATAGCTCACCTAAACCTCTGCTTAGCAAATAAACTTATAAAATTAATCTTGTATATTTTGTCAAGTCTTTCCAGGTGGAGGGATTTTGTAATGGATGAACCATTTTGAATTGGTCTGTTGACTAGTTCTTAAAACTTTAGTTGGAGAATCTGGAAATAACATATATGTTGATATAGCTCAGAGAAGCTTGATCCTCTGCCTTTTTGTTCTACAGGAGAAATAAGTAAGACATATCAAAATTTTCCAATGTGCCTTATGACCTTGTGTAACTAATGGGTATGCTCTGTTTTATCTATCACTGTCCAGCTGAATTTCATAGTTTGGGATTTATGACTAGATTTTCAACCCTGCTTTTCTATTGAGTTCTGAGACAGCCTCAGAAATATGTTAATTAAACTATTGACTGAAATACCTTGTAGCAAAGCAAGCTTGCTCTGTAACCTCATTAGGCTGAGGCATTGTGTGTCGAGCTGCCTAACCATCAGTCAGGGTAAGGCATGACACCTAACTGCTGGGCTTTTTCTTGTCAGAAAATTGACAGGATGCTCTTAGGTCTCTTTGATCTCTAGTTTACATCTCCTGTTGATAATCTTATAAAAGAATAAGCCTTAAAAGGAATTACAATGCTTCAATCTCAGGCTAATAAGAATTAGATTCTTGGGTTTTGGCTTTAGTCAAAGCTCCCACCACTAGATGGCTTTATCTGTCAGTTCTGCAAGAGAAAAGTTTTTACATATAGAAGTGCTTTAGATCTTGGTGAATACAGATGCTCTTTCTCTTAAGGCTTCATTTAATGTGCTGGCTTCAGTCTCACACACACTTGCTATCAAAAAAATCACCTTCAGTGCCTGCTGCATATGGAGATGTGACTGTGAAGGAGATTGCTTTGGGAATGACACCAAAGTCTGTGTCCTTCAAGGCAGTTGTCTGAGCTACAGCTGAGACTGATGTAGCCCAGCCCAGCCTGAGCCAGACACCACAGCTGGACACATCTGCAGCCTCTGCTGTCCTGGAGGCAGCTCACTCACAGGAGTTCTGCAGTGTCTGAACCAGCAACTGAACAGCAAGAGCTGGGCATGGCTAGACTGAAGCATGACTTGAAATCTTTTTTTTTTCTCTACTTGCAAAACTGTTTGACATTATCTTGCTGGTACTCAAGCTTTTATTCCTGATCTGGAGGGCAATTAAGTTTTATTTCGTATTGAGGTCAAGCATGAACAGAAGCTGTTTGTGAGGCAGGTGGGTGCTAGTACATCACCTGTACTAGTAATGCCAGAATATTTTACAGATGTGCCTCTTGTAATTTGTTGGTGCCAAGTCCTTGTGCCCCAGCTGTTTTATGTGTAATGCAAAACAGTCCTGTACCTTCTACCTGTCTCCAGTCACAGTGAACATCTCTTATTGCTCACTTGGAAATGAGATTTCTTGATTCTTATTCTTTTTGCTGTTTCTGTGGAAGATACAAAAGAGTGCCTCTGCTGGCTAATAACCTAGAAGTTAGGGCAGCACTTAAATGGGCAATAAAAGTTTTTGAAATAGCTCTGACTGAACTTGCACTTAAGACTCCAACTTTATTAGCCTGAACATATTAAGTCTTTAGCTAATAATAAATTAGCTTTGACTTTTCTGCCTTATGAATAAACTAATACAGGTACAAGAACGTAAGAAGGGGGTTTGTTGGCAAAGCAGGTGTGCAACATAGTTACAACTGTTACTCTGTGGACTTCAGTTACCCACTTTTCTCTCATGAAGCTGTAACTCAACCAATTTTCTGTGCAAAGAGAGCTTTTCTGCAAACTGACATGTTGTGCTCATGTAGTCTGTGACCACAGCTGAGCTCAGAGGAGAAACTCCTTTAAATCACTGCTATTGTTCTGCAAGCAAACATCTGGTTATGCTCACGGGAGCCGAGAATGTGCCCATTGGATCAGGCCCAGTGAGGATTTAAGCTGTACATGCTGAACAAGCTTAGTCATGAAAGAAGCACTAAGCTCTAGGCATTTCTTCAGCATAACATTTTTTGCCAGCATTTTTTTTGTTTGTATTTTAAGACTATGCACTTGGACTGAGGTTGATGTGTTCTGTGAAGTCATTTTATGAATCTTTGCCCCCGTGGTTTGGTCAGCTGTGGAAACTGCCTTAGGAAAAAAAAAATCTAACTGCTGTGTGCATCAGTCTGGGTTTTTCACATTAAGTCAATTTTTCTGATAGATGAGTAATTCTTCTAAGCTGAGATAGATGATGCTGGAGTCTAAATCAAGGCTAACAACATTCAGTTAAATTGAATTACTGTAATCACATTACCCTGAAAATTAACTTTGAGTATGCAAATTCAATACTCAACCCCCTTTAAATTTCACCTGTGTGATTTGAGTGCAAAAATGCATGAGGAATATTCAGACAGTTTTGTCTCTTGTATATTCATATTTAATCCTCTGATATTTAAAGCTCCTTTCCATCTTATAAAAATGTTAAACACAAGCAAACTGAAATTCTTTAGCATGTTTTAGTTTGTAAGTGAAAATAATGGCATACATGTAGGAAATAAATAAGGAAGAAAGAAAAAAGCTGATATTTATGTTAGTGTTCCTATATTTGTTAAAATAAAAAGTCATCAGCACACTCTGCTATGGGGCAGAAAGCTCCTGAAGCAGAGGTCTGGGGGGAAGTTTGAGCTTGCATGTGAATACAGAAGCCATAACCTCATGTGACTTTTCTTTTCAGTGCTACTCCAAAGATAATCTCTAAAGTGAGAGACGATCATCCAGGACCTGATAACAAAAGACACCTGCCTTTAGTACCCTTGAATGATTTGGAGCCTATCACCAATGTCCAGATCTGGTTAGCTGATGGGGAAAGGATAATTCAGAAATTCAATGTTTCTCACAGGTAGGATTTATTTAACCACTCTCATATATATTTGCATCTGAACTATATATATTAATGCCTGTACATTTAAGTCTTTAATTTTTATGACTAGTCTGCCTCCTCAGTTCACTTAGCATTGGGCTGCTCTTCAGTTGTATTTGGAAAATCTTTGAAAATTTGAGAAACCTTTTAGCTGACAAGCAAGCATAAGAGAAATGTGAACTGTTAAAAGTCAGGTCATAACTGAGTGTAAAGGAAAATCTGAGGAAAACTGTAGGAGTTCTTTGTAGATTAGTGGAAGTTAAGGTGTACATTTTGCTCATTACTAGAATAAATGGCTTTTAACATGATAGATCTCTCACAAAACAAATACATCTGGAACAAATGGCATAATAAAAAGCCTGCTGGTCATTTGGCATAGGCAGCACCACATGTGAGAGCTGGAGAAAGGGACTTAGAGTTAAGCCAGAGAAACCTCTGGGGAAAGCTGGAGTTGGTGCACTGGGCAAGGAGGTTCATCCCCTGCATGTCAACATGGACAGAATAGAATGCACACAGTATGTTTAATTCTTAATTAATAAAATTTCTGCTTCCCAAAGAGGCTTAGAAATGAGGATAATGTCAGAAGGTGTCAGCACAGCACATGTATGCAGGGGCTTTGAGAAAGTGGAATTAACACCTTACCATTAAATTGCAGAGCTACAGTCTTTAGAGACCTTTCTCAGTTCTGAATCTGAGAAATCACTGGAGTATTGTACAGTCATGTCATGTGGAAAGGAGATGTTGCCTGTGCTTCTCTGTGAAGCAGTTTGAAGGTATTACAGATTTAATACAACCCAGGCTGGTGTCAAGATAAACTCTGTATGTCTATGGCTGGTCAGAAGGAGAGCTCAGCTCTTGAAGGTTAATGACTGTAGTGTTTTCTTTGACTTGTACTAATTTATTACTGTTAGCAGCCTGATCTGTGAACTGAAACACTGTTGTGATGTACTGCTGAAGGGTAAATTGCTATTTTAATTATCAATACTTCATTGAAGGGCTTCATATCTCAATTATTCCAGGTCCCACACACTTAAGTATATTTAGAAGCTTTTTGTCTTCATAGTAAATAACCATTTGAACAGCTGCTAAGTGTTTTTGAGAGGAAAAAAACATCTGAGATAAGCAGAAAAACAGCTTTACTGGTGTAATGCTCTTTTTGAAGTACTGTGCAATAAATATTCTATCATAACATAGCCTCTTGCCACAAGACCAGCACGTTTGTGCTGTACACAGTACTTGTGTATAGCCTGATAAGAACCAGAGGGAAATCCTTTTCCAGCAATACCCTTAAGAGTGATGATTGCATACACAGCACTCTTTTCAGTGCACAAGACAGCTATTTGTTAACTAAGGTATAGATTATTAGCATGTATCACATATGTAACATATTACCAGTGTCTGAAGAAATTGATGACTTATAGCTCTTGGCAGTTAGATTGTGTCGGTGCTGGCTTAGATGTGAGTTGATTACTGGTGAAAGATGGGAGCAGAAGCACAGGAAGCATTGTAGTGTTGCACTGTGGGGAATTGAGACATGAGAGTGCAGCAGCTAGGAGAGCAGAACTGTAGGAACAGCACACAGAACTGTGTCCTGGATTGAGCTGTGTCCCCTCTTCAGCACTTACTGTGTTTGGAGCATCAAGTATGGAGCCTGAAAGGAAGCTTGTTCACCCAGAAGCAGAGAGCTGGTGGCTAATTGCCTGAGTTGCTCTTAGAACCCAATGACATTTGATATAATGCATGTAGACACCTGTAAATGTCCAACCAAAAATTTAGTCCTGCTTGAGGTTTTTCAGGCTCTTGACTTACAAGACCAAGCAGTGTCTCTGTGTTGAGGTCTGTTGCACAGGAATCAGTTTTTGTTTTGCTGGCTGTGTCTGTCCTGGGGAGTGTGGCTAAGGCTTGGAAAATCTCTGGCATCTCTACTGCTAAAGTGTTAGGATGGCATTGCCCCAAGCCAGCCAGCACTTCCTCAGGCAATACCTAACCATCCATGGCTCTGCTGTTAGCTCAGGTTGTGGACCATTCCCAGGAGACAGTAAACCTCATGGGAGGCCCTGTGCATGGGGGAGAGGAAGGATGAATTAGGAATTTTCCAGCAGCCAGTCTGCCAGTTGGCCTCAGGACCAGAGAATGGACATTGATACTATGTTAATTTTATTCATACAGATGTATCTTCTCATCTTCATTTTCTAATTAAATGAGTCGATCCTGATTCTTCCACAGCAAAACTTGTGTCTTGCTCAGCTGTTGCAAGGCTCTTCACAGGTTGAGTCTGTAGTGAGTTCACCATGCCCCTGCTTTGGGAGGATGGGACCATGCTTAGACCTAGTCAATGTATCAGCTGTCCGAATAGTTTTTGCAAAGCCTTTTTTTTTAATTTTTCTTGTGGTTCTGCCACATGAACCACACACTGGAGGCATCTTTATTCTAGCTTTTGGCTACAGAACCCTCAGGTCAGAGCTCCACCAGCTGGTTAGGAAATGTGTGTAACTACCATCTGAGCCACAATGGTGCATTTGAGTGCTCAGAATAAGATACTCATGCTCGGCCCCTTGGGACTACCCAGGGCATGCAGACCTTGGTCCTTGCCTCCCAAGTGGATCAGGCATTTCAAGATACCACCTCATCTGTATGTTGCAGTTCTGGGCTGTCAGGCATTGCATGCAGTGGTGTTGCATTCCTTTTGCATGGTGGCTGTGTGTGTTATGCAATTGTGTGGGGATTGCAGTGCCAAAACTCTAACACTGAGTTTTTCTTTCTCTCTTCTCAGAATCAGCCATGTCAGAGACTTCATAACAAAGTATCAAGGGTCTGAAGGAGGTGTTCCCTTCACACTGACCACCTCCCTGCCTTTTCGAGAGCTGCAGGACGAGACACTCACGCTTGAGGAAGCAAAGTTGCAAAACGCCGTTGTTGTTCAGAGACTTCGGAAACCAACTGAACCTTTCAGACTCTTGGTGATAAAAGCACCTGACAACGACTACAAAAGTGCTGCTACTCCTAATGGACAACTCAAGAATGAGCAAAAAAATGCTATCAATAGTACACGATCAAATTAGCTTTATAACTGACCAAAAATTATCTGCAGGGTGAACTAGGCAAAACCAAAAATGTAACCAGCAATATGTGGATGCCCTCACATCCTCATGCACTGTGCTCTTAGAGAGCAGAATGGGTGCTGTGCTGTCGTCTGCTATAATAGAGGTATTTTCAGCTACATTGGGTAGTCAGAGCCTGGCTGTATAATGTAGCAGAGCTAACTGTACAGCAGATCATCCTTAGAATTTCCTTAGGTTAAAAGCTTCATAGTATTTAATAAGTGGGTCTAGGTGGAACAGTTCTCTGAGACTTAACTACTGATAGCACCTTTTAAGGAAAAATAGTATTTATTTTTGCACTTTGGACTAAAGTGAAACATTTCACTTACATTGTAGTGTAAACTGTTGCAGTTTGCATTCTTCTCACAGTAACTCTTTGACAACCAGTACTGCGAGCAAGCTCACATTTGAACTCTACCTTGAAAATCTTCAGGATGTAACTTTTGTCACAAGATCTGCAATGTAATAATGTTCCATCAAGTTTCCACATGGTGGTAGGTGCATGTGTGAGAAGATACAAACGAGATAGTTTGGTGCATACTGCATATGAAGTGCCTCAAAGTAAGCTCTGAAGGAATTGTTCTTATCAGTGGTTGAAGTGGTTTCTGCTTCTTTTGCGCCGCTACGGGTGTCTTGCAGATCAGGTGATGTTAAACTACCTAGCTCATCAGCAGAGGGACCCACTTGTAGCTTTGTCACACAGAAACTTCAGCTGTTTTGGCTATCACCAAGTAGGAGTAGTAGTTGAGAGGGACACAGTTGTTTTTGTACTGTTTGTCTGCCTCTGTCCTGAACTGCCCAGCTGATGGAGACACTAATTGCATGTGGCCAGGTTTCAAAGCTGTTGAAAATCCTTACTTGAAAACTGACATTTTTCTCTCCATTTTGCCCCATTTCCATCCAAATCTTTATTTTGCTGTTCATGTACGTGAGGAATAAAGTTTGTAGCCAACTATTCCATGTTTTGCTAAAAGAGAAAACAACGGAAAGACTTAATATTTTGTACCGTGTTTACTAAGCCTGTGGGTTTGTGAATGGAACTAAAATCTCCAGGTAAGACATATCCCAGGATCTTCAGCAAGTCCTGGCTCCTCTGTGCTACCTCTGCCAAAGGATGGTTGTTGGGGCTGTACTTCTTCTGTGTGGTTAAGTGAAAGTTGGGTTTGGGTTTTCCTGGTTTTGTTCTAAATAGAAAATTGCTTAATTGGAGCAACTTTTATTCTAAAAAGTAGTGAGACTTCAGAGTAGAGATGTACTCTCCTTCCTTCCCAGGGATATATATAAAACTGGTTTGCTTTAGCATCTCTCATGGTGTGTTTGAAATGAAAGTCAACTGGGCAAATATCTATTTAATGTCCTCAGAAAAGAACTCTCTGGAAACTATGCCTTTAAACACTTTCCAGTGCTATAAACTTCCTGTGCTACTGTGCCATTCAGGTTTATGTAGCGAGTGGTACAATTAAATTTTCTTTGTTCTTGCACTGACTCCTATATGAAAAACAAAAATATAGGTGCTGACAAATACATTAGTAAAATTGAAAAGACAAACCGTGTACAGACACAGCTCCAATCCTCAGTACCCAGAGCTTCCTGAACAGGGAATTTTAATCAATGCTTTCAAATTTATCTTAGTATATAAAACATAGTATTAGAAAAGCACATGTGGTTGATTGTGAGTTCGGCTGTTCTATCTAAAAGGCTCATGAAATGTCAAAAGTAACAGTGTACTACTATTCATGCATTTGCAGCACAAAAATTGGAAGAAATAAATAGTGTAAGTTTGAAATTGAAGGGGGGAGTGTAAAATTCTGAAGTGGGTAAATTTTGCTTGCTATCCATTAGAAGGAGCAGTAAGTTTTGTATTTCAACATTGATTCCTGTCTGCTACCAGCATTTTAAGAGATTGGACAGTTAGGTGCTTGACTAAAACCAGCTTTCTGACTGCAGCTTTGGTGTACTTGAGAGTGCATTTGCAGTTTGAAAGTGTTATGATCTTAATTACAAAATGAGAGAAAATCTTTGGGAAGTCTGAAGTGATGCTGGCTGCATTAATCCCATGCTAGATTAGAAACCGTCTTTAAATAAAGGCAACAAACTGTAATTAAATATCTTATTTTCTAATTTGGAGAAAATCTTTGGAATTAATAGAAGACTTTCCTAAATCTAATTGGTTTTGGTTTAGCTACCTGTATATCTGTAGATAGCAATTGTGCATTGGTCAAACAACAGCATAAATGGCTTGATCAGTGCTAGAATTTGTGAAACACACAAATACCATCAGTTATTCATTGTTTCTTCACAAGCCTTTGCTGTTTTGACTAAAGCCTTGCTTGAAGATATTTTACATTAAAACTGAAACAGCCAAGAGAAGAACAGCAAAAAGAAATGTTTTCTTTAGTTTTCCCTTTATGAAGAAACATGCAAATGCAGGAAGAAAGTGTTTAATGTGTTATGAAGACAGTGTGTAAAGACAAAACAACCTAAATGTTGAATTTGAATGTTAGATGCATACCTTGTATTTAGCTTGGTACTGGCCAGTCTGTCTCTTTTGAACCTCATCTGGCATCAGCCTCTAGAGACCCCCTTCAGAGAGTTTTCAATAAGGTGTATTAGGGCCACAATCTCAGTTTTTTGTTAAAGGTCTGGTTTTTAGAAAATCCTTTAATATCCTGTTCAGAATTTTGCGAATATGCTGTAATTATTCTTACCGAACGAGGCTGAACAGGATTTTAATTAGTAGTTCATGGCATGGTTTGCAGTGCCTGCCCAGTACCCACCAGGTGCCCCTGTCAGGAGCAGAGTCCTTCGAATCAGTCACACCAAAAAGCCCTGGGTGTAGAGATTGATAAGTCATCATCTCCCCAAGACAAGTTAGTCACAAGTCCTGTTGGCTTTGTTAAACCCTCTTCTCTTAGGCTACCTCACTGTTGAAAGGATTCATACTTCAAAATGCAATTTGTATTTCCTCTGATGCAGGGCATGCATGCAAGAGCACCTTCCCGAGGGCAGGGTGGCAGTGAACTGGTGTGTCCTAGATAAGAGTGTTGGCTCGGGGGCAGCAGAATCACAGAATCAATGAGGTTGAGGTTGCAAAAGATCTCTGAGATCATCGCGTCCGACTTCGGGCTGATCACCTCCTTGTCAACCGGACCATGGCACCGAGAGCCACATCCAGTCTTTTCCTTCAACAGCTCCAGGGCCGGTGCCTCCACCGCCTCCCTGGGCAGCCCCTGGCCATCTCTATCCACCCTAAGGGCAGAATTAGCAACCGCTGTCCCCACAGTCTCCCGGCTCAAGGGCGGCTGCTGTGAGATGGCAGCGTTCTGTCCGGCGTGGTTCTACATCCCTGCACGTCGGGAAACCGCACATCTCTTCAAGGGGCACAGGAGGCGTTTTGGGGCTGGATGAAAACAGCCCCGGCCCCCGTCCTTGAGCCCGTGGAGCTGTGGAGCTGTGGCCCCCGGGAGCTGCCCCGCTCCTCTCCCCGCGGAGCCCAGGGACCGTGGGCGCGGGCTGTGGGGCTCGGCGGGGCGGGGGATCCCCGTCCCGGGCCGTGAGGGCAGCGCCGACGCCTTCGCCCCTCCAGGGCGCTGGGAGAGGGCGGCGAGGACACCGCCCGCTGTCCCTGGGCCCCGCTCCCCGCCCCGCCCCGGGCGCGCAGGTGTCGCTCGGGGTGGGATGTCCGCGGTGCCATGGCGGGGGCTGCGAGGGACACCCCGGCGGGCGAGCAGGAGGTAGGGGCTGCGAGGGGCAGGGCGGCGGTCGGGGGGCTTGGGGAGCCCCTCGGACACAGCCCTGGGCGAGAGCGGGGTCCCGCTACGCCGGCGTTCCGCTTCCATCGCGGGCGGGTCGCGGGCACTCGGCGGGGCGGGGGCAGCCCGGACGCTCTGAGGCCGCCCGGGTCTGTGCGGGGCTTCGTGCGCGGCCCCAGCCAGTGCCTGGAATAGCTCCTGGACCCTTCCCGCCGCCCCTGCGCCCGCCGGGCAGCGCCGCGACGCCGGCGCTTTCCCTGGAATGCCCCGCACGGGATTCGCTCGCTAACCGCTGCGGTGCCAGGGAAAAGCGCCTTCGCTTCCCACCTCTGTCCCATCCAGGGCTGCCTCCCGGACAGAGGCAGGTGGGATGCGGGAGGCAGGAGGGTTCGCTCCCCCGGAGCTTCAGAAACTCCCGGTTTCCAGGGGTGTGTTGGGATGTGAGCGAGGGGATCCCACGCTGCCTGCCCAGACTCGCTGCTCGCTGCGGGAGGAGCGGCAGGCAGGTGAGGGTGAGCGAGTACTGCCCCACTCCATGGCTCTTGAGGGAACGCCAGGTGAAACTGGGAAGGGGCAGCTTCCAAACGGAGCGGATGAGGAAGTTTTCCACAGCATGTTGGGGGCATTCAGCCCATGGAGCTCTTCAGACACCTGGCACGTCCTGTTCGGGCTTGAGTTTTTGTGTTTGGAAAGCATCTGGGTGAATTCACGGCGTAAGTCTGCAGATGTTGCACAGATGCACCATCTTTGTCTCATGGAGTTCCGCAGAGCTGCATTGCCAGCAGCTGAAAGAATATCCTGAGAAAGCACCCCTGTATCCCACCTTACTCACACTCCCTTTCCTAGCTGTCTGCACACAAGCCCTGCTCCTGTTTTCTTCCACTCAAGGGCGGGCTGATGTCACTAACTAACCTGAAACCAGTCCTCAAGATGCTCGCTGTGAGGGACCTGGGATGCCACCCGTGGTGCCACACTCGTGCTTTCAAGAGGCAGCTGTTTGGTCACTCACAGAACAGAAACATGACCGGTGTGAATTCCACACTGAGAGAAAAGCTGACTCCAGAGCTGCTTCTCGCTAGCTACATTTCATTGTTTCTCAGCTAAACCTAGACTAGCATTTATCTTTGAGTCACAGGTTTCGCTCTCTGTTCTTACTGCTTTTAAATTACTTGTTTGTTCGGTTCTGGACTCCACTGATAACGAATAGCTCAGGACAAAACTCTGCGGCTGCTCCCTATGCCTGTAACACAGTTGCTGAGTTGTTTTCAATGAGCTGCAACGCTTTCTGTAGAAGTAAGATGTTCTGCTATAAAAATTGTATTCAATTTCTGTTCTGTTGGGGAAGGGAAAATTTACAAGTATGGTTTTAACTTACAAGAGAATTAAAAATAAAGGAACTACAGTGTAGGAGAAGCATTAATTTTCCATAACAACGTTTAAGATTTCTATTTAAGGAGCAAAATCAAATCTCTCCGCTATTATGCTTTCTTGGTTTGCCTTGAAACACAATT